TCTCCCGTAATGGAACAAAGGCAGTCTAAATATTTCTCTCTAAAGGAACCAAGGCTACTTGAAGAAGTGATAAATAAATTTGGAAAATGTTTTTTAAGAAATTACTGAAATAGGGCCAGGGATTTAGCTCAGTGGTTCCGCCACCTGCCTTGCAAGCTCAGGGACCCGAGTTCTATCCCTGGTACCAAAAAAAAAAATTATCTTAAAAAAATTACTGAAATACACTGATCATATGTAAATTAAGGAAGCTATTAAAGACCATGGGAGTTGTATCAGACTTGGAAACTCAAAGAAGCTCTTTTGGTCAAAGATATGAAAATGTGAGAATGAATAATTTACTACAGAATGTTTAAACACATGAGTCACAATGATATACTTCCAAAGGAAACTACCTTCTACCTTCTACCACCCCGCTGTCATGAGTACCTCAGGATAACTGAATAGTTGAGAAAGTTTCTCTTTAAAAAAGTAGTTCATGGGCTGGGGATTTAGCTCAGTGGTTCCGCTGCCTGCCTCGCAAGCGAAGGTCCCAAGTTCGATCCCCGGTACCAAAAAAAAAAGTAGTTCAGCCAGGCACTGTGGTGCATAGCTGTAATTCTAACTACTTGGAAGGCTGAGGCAGGATCATAAGTTCAAATCCAACCTAGGCAACTTAGTGAGACACTGTCTGAAAAATAAGATAAAAGGGCTGGGGATGTAGCTCACTTGTAGATCACTTGCCTAAGTAGGCATGAGGCAATCCCTAGTATAGAGTTTTCGGGGTATTTTATTTACTATAGAGAACTTTATTAGAATAATTGCCAGAATTTGAATAAAAGCTGTAGATTCAGTAATGGCATGATGTTGGTAATAATTTTACAGTTTTAATATGTAGTTATGTAAGAGATTAGTAAATTCAAAGTGCAGAGGTTTAATTTAGGGTTTAACATTTACAGATTGGCAGTTTACTCTCAAACTGTTTTTAAAAATTTATAGCTGTGTGGCTGTCTCACAAGCACAAGGTCCTGAATTCGATCCCTGGTACAAAAGAAAAAGAAAGAAAAAAATTCATAGCCTGGCCTGCTCGCATATGTTTATAATGAAGCACTCTGGAAGGCTGAGGTAGAAGGGTCGTTGAGTTTGTGTCCAGCCTGTTAGCAATTTAGCAAGGCTCTGTCTAAATAAAAAAGAGTTGGGGATATAACTCACTGCAAAAGGCCCTGGGTTCAATTCCCAATACCAGAAGAAAAGATGAGAATATGAAACAAATGTAAGGCTGGGCTGGTGGTGCATGCCTGTAGTCCCAACACTTGGGAGTCTGGGGCAGAAGGAAACCAAAACAGCAACAACAAAAAAGACGCAAGCAAATGTAGCAAAATGTTAACAATTGAGATTTTATGTAAGAGAATGACATTCTTTTTTTTGGAGAGTAGAGAATTTCTAGAATAATCTCATTTGAGACAAAAAAGACAATGGGATATAGTACGTAGGTTGTGAGTTTTGAGAGTAAGGACAATTTTTTCAGAGTAATAGGACTACAGGACACATACGCAGGTAGATTGATAGATGTGATGGCAGCTTGTGGAAATTCTTGTTTATTAGTTTTCTGTGTTGTTGGCATAATGTTTTGTCAGCTGATAGTTGTGATCTATTTAACTAAAATATTTACATACTTATTGAATATCTGTGTGCCAGCTGGTCAGTAAGAATATCAAGATAAATGAGATAGTCTTATATTTAAAGACCTCACCATTTGAAACACTTGCTGGTTATGATATATCACATAACTATAAAAGAAATGTTAATCTTGTAATATTTTGTATCAAGAAGTTTTTACCATTTGTCTTTTATTTGTTGCATTTATAGAAGTGCAAAAATCCAACTGAAGGAAATCCACAGTGAAGAAAATATTAAGCATAAAGATGTTTAGAACATTTTTATAGTACTGTAAATTTTGAAAACTTAGATTTCTAACAGATTGGGAATGTTACATAATTATGATAGTTGACAAATTGTCTAGCTATAAAATTATTTTACACAAAGCAACAGACACTGCCCAAATCCAGAAGATTATGAGAAACTATTTTGAAATTTTATATTCCAATAAATTGGAGAACCTAGAAGAAATGGAGAAACTCCTAGACACATGAAATACCAAATTTGAACCAAGAAAGTATAAAAATCCTGCATAGACCAATAATAGGCAATGAAATGTAGAGGTAGTAATAAAAATCCTACCAACTAAGAAAACCCGGGATTGGATTCACTGTAGAATTCTACAGAACTTTAGGGAAGATCTAACACCAGTACTCTTTAACTTCTTCCATGAAATGAAAAGAAAGGAGTACTGCCAAACTCATTCCTAGAAACTAGCATTACCCTGATGCTAAAACCAGACAAGGACTAAACAAAAAAACTACAGGGCCATCTCCTTAATGAACATAAATGCAAAAATCCTCTACAAGATACTGGCAAACTGTATCAGAAGTCATTAAGAGCATACGTCATTCTGGGCATGGTGGTATATGCCTGTAGTCCCAGAACTCAGGAAGCTGAGACAGGAGGATTGCCGTGAGTTCAAGACCAACCTGAACTACATAGGGGGACCGTGTCTCAAAAAACAAAAATTAAAAAAAATCATATATCATGACCATATTGACTTCATCCCAGAATGCAGGAATGGTTCACTGTAGTAATAAATCAGTAAACATAATACATCACATAAATGGAAACAAGGCCAAAAATCACATGATCATCTCAATAGATGGGGAAAAAGCCTTTGACAAAGTCTAGCATTTACTCATTTTTTTAAAAAAGATGAAAATCAGTATAAAAGTTTTTATCTCAAACTGGTGAAAGTCATTTATGACAAACCTCCTGCCAGCATCTCCATACTAAATGGGGAAAACCTGAAAGCATTTCCTTTAAAATCAGGAGCAGGACAAGGGTGTCCACTTTTATCACTCCTGTTAATTATATTGCTTGGAACTTTAGCCAGCAATCAGAGAAGAGAAATAAAAGTGATGCGTAGAGGAAAAGAAATCAAACTTATTATTTGCAGATGACATGATCCTTTTATATTTAGAAGATTCAAAAAATTCCACCAAAACATTTAGAACTAATAGACAAATTCAGTAAAGTAGCAGGATATAAAACTAGTACACAGAAATCACCAGTGCTGGGACCGGGGATTTAGGTCAGTGGCGCTGTGCCTGACTTACAAGCACAAGGTCTTGAGTTTGATTGGGGGGGGGGGGCTCACCAGTGCTGGGTGTGGTAGCACATGCCTGTAATCCTAGCACTTGGGAGGCTGAGGCAGCAGAATCACCATGAGTTCAAGGCCAGCCTGGGCTACATAGTGAGTTCAAGGCTAACCTGAACTACATAATGAGACAGGTGTCTCAAAAATTGCCAGTGTTCCTGTACACCCAATAATAAACCCACCAAGAAATCGGGAAAATAATCCCATCTGCAGTAGCTTGAAAACATTTTATTTATCTATTTTGGTTTTCTGGGATAGCATCTGGATTACATAATCCTGGCTGGCCTTGAATTTACTCTGCAGCCCAGGCTCGTCTTGAAATCATGGTGATCCTCCTGCTGCAGCCTCCTGAGTGTTGAGATTATAGGCGTGTGCCACCACATTTAGTTTAAAATACATACCTACATACTTTACCCAGAAATTAATCTACCCAGGGAAGTGAAAGACCTCTATAATGAAAATATTATAGTACTTGGAAAAAAGATATTAAGGAGGACACCAGGAAATGGAAGAATGTTCTTGTTTCTGGAAAAGCAAAACTAATATTGTCAAAATGGCCATATTACCAAAAATGATATGTAGATTTAATGCAGTCCTAATCAAAATACCCATAACATTCTACACAGAACTAGAAAAAGCAGTCCTAAAATTTACACAGAAGCAGAAGAGACCCAAAATAGCCTGAGCAATCCTGAGCAACAAGACCAAGGCAGGAGACATCATAAACCAGATTTCAAGTTACTATATTACAAAGCTACCATGATAAAACCAGCATGGTAGGCTGGGTGTGGTGGCACACACCTGTAATCCCAGCACTGCTTTGTCTACATAGTGAATTCAAGGCCAGCCTGAACTACATAGTGAGAGCCTGTCTCAAAACAAATAAACAACAAAACCCCAGCATGGTACTGGTACAAAAACAAACATGTTGTTCAGTGGGACAGAACTATGGATTCAGAAACTATCCCAGGCACCTTCAGTCATAGGATCTTCAACACTAAGGAAATCAGTACGGTGATACCTCAAAAAACTAAATACAGGGCTGGGGATTTAGCTCAGTGGTGCTGTCGCCTGAGTCACAAGTGCAGGGTCCTGAGTTTGATCCCTGGTACCAAAAAACTAAATACAGAAAATCTGTTTGGCCAAGCTATACTCCTCCTGGGTTTCTTCCTCAGAGATTTAAAAACATCATATTGTGTGTTTAATAGATGATAGTTATATACCATGTTTATGGCAGCACAACTCATAATAGTTAAATCTTCAAAATGGCCCATAAGCCCATCAATGGATAAATGGATAAAGAAAATGTGGTGTGTATATCAGAGTATTACTCAGCCATTGAGTCATTTGTAGGAAAATGGATGCATCTTGAGACCATAATTATGTATCACATGGTTTCTCTTATATGAGAAACTCAAAATAAAAATAAAGAGCAAAATAAAATGTAGATTATAGGAAACAGGGAGATAGACTTTGTGGAGATAGGAAAAGGATCTCAGAATTGGGGGAGATGGGAGCAGAGGAGATAGGGAAGTACATTTTTTAAAAGGGAAGGAAGCCTATTAAGTTTTGGTTTTGTGAGAGTTTTGTTTGTTTCAGGTCAAGTAAACTTACGGAAGTGTACAAATTTTAAGTGTGCTGCAGATTAATACATTTTCTTGGCCTGTGTATCAAGTTATTTTCAGAGCTTTGCTTGTAACTTTTATAATATCATCTTTTGAAAATAATTTGTTTATCTTTTTAAAAATTTTTTCTACAGGCAAGTGTCAATTGAGGAAGGAGAGAGAAAAGCCAAAGAGCTGAATGTTATGTTTATTGAAACCAGTGCAAAAGCAGGCTACAATGTAAAGCAGGTAAGTGTCCTTTGATTATGAGTTGGTGTTACTAAATTAAGAAAACATGAAATAATTGTATGCGTATTCCATTCTCTTGTGTAAGATTGGCTTTTAATTAACAACACCAGGCCTTATGAACTAGCAACATATTTTCAAATAATGAAAAAACAAATGTGCCATAGTTTTGGGAAAATACGAAAAGACTTGCCAGACTTTTCAGATTGTGCCCCGGATAACTATTTCATTGTGATTGCCAAGCCTATGATTGCAAAATTTTAAACTTAACATATTCTCACTACATTCCTATTTCAAGACGGATAAATGAAAGCAAATTTTTTTCAGTAGTGAATGTTTTGCTTATTATGAAAATACATTTTTGTTATTTTATTCCTGATTATCCTTAATAAACTGCTGGTATTAAAATAGTTTGCAGCAGGAGTGCTTTGGGGGAAGAGAGCAGGAAAATAGGGAGACCTCATGTTGCCAAGCTGTTTTCCACAAGATGGGTCGGCCCCAAACTCTCATCAGGGCTTAATTCATCTAGAGTCATGGTCCCAGATTTGTAGGACACAGACAAATTTTTTCAACTGAAAGCAGTCAATAGAAGGTTAAAGTAAAGCTTTTAAATTAAATAGAGCTTTGTGAAAATTTCTGTTGTTCTCATTTTTGCCACGTTGTTTCCCATCCATCCTTGCCTTGAATCATTAAGGCAGGGAAGTTGCCGTATATCTTCTCTGACATTTCCCACCCTAATTTGTGGCTGTGATAAATGACTCTTTTCTGTGCTTTCATATGCCTCTGACTCCTATGAAACTACTGTTACTGAACTTACCACAGTATATTGAAAATATCTGTCTTTCATCAAAATATCTTTGTTTTCCAGAACCTAACAATGTGAATGGAATATAGTAAATGTTAAGTAGCTGGATCCATGAAAGCCACAGACAGTTCCAGATTTTGAATAATGTAATTTATAGCAATATTACCATATACCATTATTCTAAGACAAAACAGTGGGTAGCTTTGTGTGGCTTTGTCTGTTGGAGACATTTTGATAAGAGTGTGAGCTTGTTTTTATGTACTACTACTACAGGATATCTTTTTCTGGTTCTGTGTTGTCACCTAAAGAAGGTATTGCTGTGGCCTCCTTAGTCCTCACCGTAAGTAGTCTTACAGATTTGGAATCTCTAGAACCAGATAGCACATAGAGAGCACTACTGATGGCCACTATCTTCATGATGTTTAATTGCTTGCAAAATTTAGATAATCCTAGGATGTTGTAAAACACAGCATGTCATTCATTTATCGTTTTATTAGCACAGAATTTTTCACAGCTCTATTGAAGCAAAAATTTATACATCCTGGCCAGGCATGATGGAGCATGCCTGTAATCCTAGCACTCAGGAAGCTGAGGCAGGAAGCTCGCCATGATTTCTAGGCCAGCTTGGACTCATAGGGAGTTCAAGGCCAGCCTGAACTACATAGTGAAACCCTGTCTCAAAACAAAACAAAAGAGATACTAATCTAAATTCTTCAGAATTCAAAATGTTTTGATCATCTATTCTAAGCCACAAGTAGAAAATTCCACAGTTGACTTCATGTGACAGATTGAGTCAAAACACAGTTGCACTAAAAATACAGTATTAAATTACTTTCAGGCTATGCATTTAAGAAGTATATGAAACATGAATGAATTTCATGTTTAGATTTATGTCCCATCCTCAAGATATTTTATTATGTACATGGAAATATTCCAAAATCTGAAATACTTCTAGTCAGAATTTCAAATAAGGAATACTAAACTTATTATGCCATTAAATTCACCTATTTTAAGCATATAATTCAGTTATTTTAGTAAATTTATGGGATTGTACAGCCATCACTACAGTCCAGTCATAGAACTTTTTTTTTTTTTGGTACTGGGGATCAAACTCAGGACCTTGCACTTGGGAGGCAGACGGTACCAATGAGCTAAATCCCCGGCCCTGAACATTTTTATCAGTAGGCACATATTTTTCTCAAAATCTGATCAATACAGATAGATGTAGCTATCAGTGGTAATGAAGAGAGATTTTTTTTACAAGATAGTCTTGTTTTCAAACCCTGTTTACTATTTTGTTTTTCCTTATTTATATATGTCTAAAATCTGATTTTGTTGAAGTGCCTTATTCTATTGAGAGACTTGAATTTAGTATCTTTTAAATATGCATAAAACCAAAAATACTGTTAATTTGGAACAACTGCTTTTTTTCTGTTTATTTATGTATCCCCCCCCCCTTTGGGTTTTGTTTTGTTTTGAGAATTGCTATGTAGCTCAAGCTGGCCTTGAACAACATGGCAACCTCCTGCCTCAGCCTCCTAAATGCTGGGCTTACAGGATTGCACTACCACGCCTGGCTGTAGCTTCCTTCTTAACTCATAAAAATCAGTACGTATTTTTCATTTTATAGGGAATACCACAGTTCATTAATTAAGATTTTATTTCAGTATTTAGTGACTGTCCTTTGTTAGTTTATGTAATTCAGTAAGGAAGCAAAAGTCCTGGAACCACCAAATTAAAGAATGAAACAATAAAAAAAGCATTAAAGTCTTATGTTAATAAGCACATTTAGAGTCCCAGCACCCAGAAGGAGGCTCCCCTGCCGCCATTCCATGCTCCTAGGGCAGAGAAGCTGAGCCAGTCCCAGCACCTGGAAGGTGGCTCCCCCACTGCCATTCCACCACTCCTAGGGCAGAGGAAGTGAGTCACGCAGGCTCCAGAAGCACCCCCCC